GTTAATAATAAAAATTGTCTTATAATCAGTAAAACACCTTCAAGTTCCCTTTTGACTTCAGCCAGAGCAGAAGGAGAGAGGCAGTGCTTGACTTAATAAAAAGGCTCAACACTAGACAGGTTTCTGAGGCTTTACAAACCAAAGTATGATAGAAAACTCAACGCTTCTTAGAAAGAAGAAACAACTAAAACAAAATCATGATTTCATGTTCACTACTTCTATTGGAATGATTTGGTCAAAAAGGTGACTCTTATATCAGATATTGTTGTATATGTGATTTAGTATTGTATAGCCTGAAGACACATTTGGTACACTTGGTGCTCAGATGAAGGGAAACATTTGGGCATCTGCTCGGCCAATTTCCCCAGCTGCAAAACAAAAATTTAAAGTGCAGCTATCATGCTATTTTTAGGCAATAGCATAGGTCTCAGATATATAAAAATTAGGGCTGTCAGTCAATTAAAATATTTAATTCCGATTAATCGCATGATGTCCATAGTTAATCGCGATTAATCGCAAATTAATCGCACATTTTTTATCTGTTCTAAATGTTCCTTAGAGGGATATTTTTCAAGTTTTTAATACTCTTATCAACATATGAGTGGACAAATATGCTTTATGCAAATGTTTGTTTATTATCATTTTAACAATGACAAATATTCTCCTGAATATTCTCAACACAACAACCTGGAACCTCTCTCTCTTACGCTCTCTCCCAACCCTGTGTACTTCTTTGCACTGAGCCAGTTGCTCAAACAGACAAGCCTGTTTACAGGTGTCGGCGAAATGCCGCTCCTCTGTCTTCATAACAGTCAAAGCATGAGACTGAAGTTCCCACTGTGGGTCAAAAGAATGCGCTGTGATGTGCAGTCGACACGTTGGATCCAAATTATCTAACGCAGCCCCTCGTCCTCCACAATGTTAAGCTGTAGCCACCCATTTAGCTACCGCTGTTGTTGTCCAGGCGTCTCCCCGGCAAACTTTCAAGCGTGGTCTGCCGCAAGCGAGCGGCAGGAGCGGGGCTGTCAGCATCAGCTGTGTGCTTGGCTTGCTGTTTAAAACACCTTTTTTTGTATCCATATCTCTCGCTAGAATCTCCCACCATCCAACTAACAACAACAACAACGTCAAGCCTTTGGCCTCTGAAACTACGGGGCGGGCCGAGGACAAATACACATGCGTTAATCACACGTTAAAATAATTAGTGGCGTTATTAACGCGTTAACTTGACAGCCCTAATAAAAATATATAAAAAACATGTCTATGAAGTGCTGATTTTGGGTATAAAGGTTTAAAAAAATAAATAAAAATGGATTAATAAAAAGAGGAGGGGTCTGAGCTTATGCGGGACCGGGCAGCTACTGTCTAAACTAAATGCTGCCGTGATGAAACGCCATATCATGGATTATCAAGGATTCTCTCTGAAACAGTATGGAGCTCAAAGGCTTTCTCTCTTGCCGGTTATACCACAAGATGAGCTCCTCTTTATTTCCTGCTTCTTCACACATATGCTCTCCAGTACAGGTTAGCTCTGAGTGTTAGCGATGCTAATGTAAACACCGACCATATTACGTCCAAAACAGTCGGGCATTGTTTCTGATAGCAACGTTTCTGATTGGGCCGTGGGTCCACATTTCAGATACATATCGGACGCAAATCTGGATCAGCTCCGTTGTAGCCCCGTTTTAAAGAATTTGGGTACGGAGGAAAAGAGAGTGTTTTATTTTCTGACGCTGCGTGAGTTCCCCGACGCACCGGGGACACATCTTTATGTATAAAAGACATCACAAAGTGCATTTTGCATGATAGGTCCCCTTTAAATATAAATCGAGGTTATTTGTCAGTATTTGAAAAGATGATAATAATCATGTGAAATCTGTTGATCAACTATTTTCTATTTTCACAATATATATATTTTCTTTTTTCAATGCATCTGTTGTTGATTAATGATAGATTAGCAAATATAGTGTGTAGTATTATAGGTAACAATGAGAAGATGATCCCCTGGGGGAATATTCCCAAGCTACTTAGCAGTATATCCATCTATATATATAAACTCCACTAATACCAGCTGCAGTATTAAAGTGATGTTCACATTAGTGCATAAGTAATCATAATGTATTACCATAATACAGATTCTTCTGAAATGGCCATTCTGCATAATGAATATTGTACCTATAATCTGATGCTGACATTTATGAATGCAGGTTTTTTTTTACTTGCAACACAGTATTTCTACACTGTTAGTATTGCTAGTTGTATATCAGTAAAATATCTGAGTACTTCTTTCACTACAATAATGGCGCGGCCTTTACATCCCACTCCTTTCTTTCTTACGTTCTACCTAAGATGTTCTGGTGCTGAACCTGTCACTGATGTTTATATAATCTCCATTTATGTAACCTCAGTTTATCTTTCAATTTCACTCTTTCTTGCCAATGCTGCTGCAGTGATTCCGACACAGAGCCTTGACGTTTTTATTACCTCGCTCCGTGTATTAATTCAAAACCTTCAATCTCAAGGTCTATAAAGACTTCTCAATGAATGTTGACCTGATGATCTATTCAGAAATATTTAATTGAGTCATACAGTGGCTGAGTTTTATTTACTAAGGCTCCATTGAGAGCTACAGTACTCGGTGTGATTTGGAAAAATGGAGCCTAACAGGGAAATTATGTAAACATACTGTTTGATTTGAATTGAAGGTCATGTTGATTTCTGTTGTCTTGTGACTCGTAGCTGGCGATTATGTGGCCCCGACTGCTTGTCCAAACATCCCAAGTGCTTCCAGCATTCATGGGTTTTTGATTGACTCTGATTACACCGTCTATTATCTATCTATTACATTGAACGCTGAGAGAGATCCGCTGTGTCAGGAAGGATGTCTTCATGACGTCCAGACCGAGTTAACTTCTCAAGGATTAAACCTTGGTGCTTTTGATACTTGAAAAAATGTCACCAATGGTGCTCGAAGAAGCTGCTTTTGTGCAGAAAGCTTTTATTTGAGAGGAATTTCAGCGAAGGGCGGACATGTTGATTGAATTAAAACCCACTAAGAAGAACATTTGTGTACTTGTTTTCAACCTGAAAGTGATTTTATTTTCTTGTCTCGCATTGTTGGGGGTTGATTGTGCTGTTGCTAGGGGTAATGCGCACATGCTGCAATCTGTGTGTGTGTGTGTGAGATGTCTTGGGGAAAAGGTGGTTATGTACATCCTTACGCGGTCATCTATCTGTACACATTAACACAAGGATCAATCCTCCTCCTCCGCAGCCGTAGTTTACCAAGGCTGCTAATGGGCACCTTTCGAGGCTCAATCATAATGAGACAAAGGGAAATCGCATTAGAGCTTCAGTGATTCTGCTAACTAGATTGACAAACACAAGGACGTTTTCCTAACCGAGATGAATAGTCCCAATCATGCCATTAAATTATATATATTCCGGTGTCGTTATGGATACTTGATTATCCGCCGAGACCGGAGGAAACTGGCGTCAAAGCAGAGGAATGAGGCTGCTCGTGTACCGTCTGCCGGACGAAAATATAGGAAACAAAGCATTACAGGTGGTTCGTTTCCCTGCACCGGCTGATTATGATGAAGCCAGGGGAGGAAAGTGCAAGGCTAAATAAAGCAGCAGGTGGATCAGAGACACTGAGATCATCCCACAGAACTGTCTACCCACTTTCATCCTTAAATACCGTTTGTACTTAAACAAAAGGGAGGTCACTTCAGGATTGCAAACATTTTGAATTCTGTCAAACTGTATATTTGCTTCTCAATGATTTGCCTCGATGATAAAAAAAAAACGCCCAACCCAGTCGGTGACCATCAATCCAAAATTATTCAATTTACAATCATATAGTAGAGAAAGGCAATATGTACATTTCAACATGACTTAGAACAAAGTTACTGCTGCTGTAATTATAACTCATTGTTTCTATAATTGATAATTCTGCCTTTTTTTCCTCTCAATTCAACAATGGTTTTTTTGGGTTGTGTAATTTCTAAAAAATGTAAACCACAAGCCTTATTGTTGTCTTTGAACTTATTCTATAGCTGCTACAATTATTCATAGGAAAGAAAAGAAAAATGTGCAACTATTTGACTAACAATGAGTGATTTTGTCATTTTTAATGCAATGTCGCTTTTAGTCTCACATTCTAAGAATAAGCTGGTTTTTTTGGGTCTCAAAATAATACATATTTATACATATTTTTTGTTTTTATGACATTTGATGACGCCAGTTAAATTGTGGATAATAATGGATATTACTATCAGATGTTTTATGATCAATTAACTGATAAAATTAATCTGATAATTAGTTGATGATGAAACAATCATCCGTTACAGAAAATCAACAAATCTCAATATTTAAGCGTCAACAAGTGTGTTTTTAATAGTTGTTCCCTGAAACATAACTGAAATAGTTAAATATTTGAATGGTTGCCTGCAAATGTTTCTGCACACAACTAAGCCCCTGTTGTTTCAGCTCTAGATCAGTTTTAAAACTTGTTTGGATACATCTTGAAGTGTTTACACCTCTAAGAACACATTGGTACAAGTGTTAGGATGCCAATCATGTGACTTTTCATCCCCATGGTTATTAATGATACCTTAAATCAAATCATCTTACTCCTCCTACCTCCCACTTTTTACTGAGAAAAATCAGAACAACCCTTCACAGTCAACTTATTAAAGCAAATGTATGATTAACAATCCATTTTATAACATTATGGGTGTCAAAATCGACTGTTTTAAATCTAAATTGTTTAAAACGTACCATAGATCGATAGAAGTGTGAAGTATAACAACTGTATATGACAACTGATGAACCCCAGCACTTGCTCCGTGATTTATTAATATAATAACTCAGGCTTCATTCAGTAATGAAGATTTAACAATGTTTGAATTTATAATTACTGAATATTGAGTTGACAGCTGCTCCCCGCTGTTTAATTTCCTGCCATAATAGCCACATCAAACAGAATATATACTCACCCTGTACGGCTCTGACAAAACACGATGCTCCGGCGTTAAATGGACGTTTGGTCAGTTCTTTGATACGCTGTTTTTCCTTTTTACTCCTTTTTCTGTCTGGGAGAGTTGACTCGTGTCTTTCTGTTGGTCTTCCCTATCCCTCTGCTTCACAGTGTTGGCTTCACACCTTCCCTCGCTGGCTCGCTCTTCCCCTCCCCTCTTTCCTCTCGCTGACTTTTTTTCCTCTGTGCTCCTCTCTCCAACGAGGTGAAAAACACACTTGTCAAATACAGGTAGGTCATCACACCGTCTCTCATCCTCTTCAGTTGCTAAGTACGAGGTGCTTTGATGCAAACATGTTTTTTCAGTACTGCCATGTACTGCAATATAACGGTCCAGTTTTCTTTCTGAGACGAGATGGTAAAAGCAACAGCTGTTTAGTGTCAATGTCCATGTGACAGAGCAGCTACGTTTCCAAAGAAAGCTCCTGGTCATCAGCAGTGAATCAAGATCTCCTTAAAAGTTTCTCCCTTTTCATTCAAAACTCACCGTCTTCTGGGTAAGATACAAAAGGAACACAAGTCCCAGTTTCTGGCTCTTTCTGCAAAATACAAGCAACTCCTCTGGCAGAGAAAGCGGAATCAATCTTCTTCAATCCTCAAGGCCTCAAATCCTTTTCGTCTCCTTGCCTCGTTATAAAAAGTCGCTCGGATAGACGAGCGTCTTCACCAACATCCGGACTCAACCAACTATTAGGAGAAATTCCCACATGGCCAAAAGCCTCATCCTGTATCTGAGCACTGAGCAACATGTAAGAGGAGGGAGGAAAAGGTGAGCAAGTGGGAGAGTAGGATGAAGAAGAGGAGGAGGAGGGACCAAGAGGAGGAGCCAGTGTGTGTCAGCGTCGCTTCAGAAAGGGCCGACTGTTTGCCTTTGCATCCACAACGCTGTAAATGTTCATCAAAGGGGTAATGTATTCGTACAACCTCTCGCTGCGTCCCACTTCATCATGACTCTGTAAAGAACTAGAGTGCGCCCTGTGCAAGAGATGAACGAGTGACAGTGGAAACAGTCTTTGATTGGCAGAGTTTTGCCTCAACTGCTTAGATTTCACCTCAAAGTGAGTGTTTTTCAGTTCTAGGTCTTTGTTTTTGGTTGGTATGACCTTTCCTGTTCTGATAAGCTTCTTGCTGAAGATGAATAATAGATGAAGCATACCACATTTGTTTTATTTCTGGATAAGTAGTGGAAATAAGATGGAAAGCAGAGGTGGGAATCTTTAGTATACCTCGGGTGATACAGGATTTACAAGGTTGATACTGAATTATAAAAATATTCAAAAGTGAATCTGTGACTAAAACCTCCCCTGAGCTCTATAGGATATGGAATGAGTTGAGTTGGTTTTAATATCATTATACGGATGGGGAGAAAAGATCAATATTAACAGATTGCAATAGGCCATTTGAGAATGCTTTGTCAATGCCTTGTACCAATGGCTATTTGTTGTGTTTGGTTATCTACTTCAGAGCACCTTTTAGCTTATCATCAGTGTCCTATTTGTTCCTGGATTCACAAGCAGCTGTTCATATCAGTTAGCAACGTCAACTCCTTTGGAGAACAACTTTGTGAATGCTCTTGACGCAATGAGACTAACACATTGTCACGTGGTGTGGAGCATACTGTCAGCACCCAACACAACATGTGTTATCAGATTGCATTTCTAAGAATATTTATAAACCTTACAAGTTGTTCTCAGAGCAACATCTACACCTATGATCGCAACGTTTTCTGGTCCATCTTATTCCCAGAATTCCCTTGACCCCAGTTAAGTTATATAAACATTGTAAAGTTGTTTTAGGTTCACTTTTTATATCTTCCATTAGAGGATGAAGAAATTATCTTTTTCAAACATATTAAACATTAAAGGTCCCATGTCATGCTTTTCCGGTTATTACCCTTGTGTGTTATGTAGCTTTTTCTGCATGTAAACGGTCTGCAGAGTCACAAACCCTCAAAGTACACCCTGTAGCGAGTAAAACTCTAACACAGAAAATACCTGTCTGTGCTGCCCCAGAACGCCTCGTTGGACATTTCTCTTTTTCCATTTGTCTGGCCACTTGGGAACCGCATGACGTCATAGGGTTCCCGGAACCAAAATGGACCAATCCACGGAGCTCCTCACACACCAGGAGGGGTGGGGACCTTTAGCGTATATTTTTAACTAACAGGGAGTCCCCTGGTTGGTAATAGGCGAGTTGGGATCGCGGAGAAATGCTCTCCGAGCCGCAGACCCATTCTCACAGCGTTATAAACCTTTTTCTTACTCGATATCAAGCCACACTTATTGTTTTTACTTCGGCTGTGAGTGTTTGTGTGTGCTCAGGATGAGTTTCGCTTGTTCTCGCTGTATCGCCGACCCGGAAGCCACACCAGTAAGCCAGCTCACTGAGCAGCGAGCCTCGCAACGTCCCGACCAATCGGAGCACACTGGGCTCACAGGGAGGGGGGCAGGAGCTCCAACAAGCCGTTTAGGACAGAGAGTGAATACACATACTATACAGAGATGCTGTCTGAGAAACAAATGTGAGTTTGGAAAATTGCACAATATAAATCTATTCTAGTATACCTCAACAATGGAATTATGATCAGTAGAAATGGCCATGACATGGGACCTTTAAAGCATACTTATATTCTCTCATGTTGTTGAACTATTCAGTGGTGGGTGATGGGCAGCAAAGATGGTCAAATTGTTGCTGAAACATGTCTTTAAGCCACTGTATAACAGAACAATGGGCAAAATGTGCTGCCAATTGGCTTTGATTTGACTACATGGAAACAGTCTTTGTTATTTCTTTTGAAAATGGATTAAAGAATATCTATCTTTTAGTCATCTCAAACACTGAAGCAAAAATAAAGCTTTCTTTAATCACTGAACGATATCATTTGGGGCATTGCGATATGACATGCATACGTAAAATCAGTCTTTCATATACAACAAAAGGTAATAGCTTTGAAAATTGTCTCTTCATTATGCAATCATTATAATGGGGGGTTCCGGACTCATCATCTTCACGCCCCACCAGCCTGCAGGAGCACCCATTGAAGCCACCGTTTCTTCTGGCTCCTTCAGAAATCACATCTTTCCCGAGTGTCCCCAAAGACTCGACGCTGTTTCATCCTCACTGTGATTTAACAGGTTTATTAGACCAGGTGCCGGGCATTTCTTTGAAACAGTTTTGCTTTCATGTGAATATATCATGTTCCTCTAGCTATGGATTTCTAATACAAAGGATATGAGGCATGTTTCATGTATCCCTCAGGGAGTTCATGTATAGAGCCACACAGATATACAGTGATTGCTTGATTTCCATTACAGGCCTTCGTCCTCACAGTTTACCCCTGTAGTGTTTCAAAGTGCTGTTAGACCCCTCTGTTATAGTCATCTGGGAATGTAGTAGGCTTAAGTCTTTGATTGGAGAACAATACATCAGCCATCAAATTATCAGCTGTATTTATTTACCTATCATGAAGAACAAATACTCAGTTTTTCACAAGTATGGGGATTTCGTCTGTGTTGAATTGTTTGAGTTTTGTTTTGTTATCCAAAGGAAGGAAAATATAGTGAATAAAATAAAGAAAGTTGTTTTTTGTCCTTTTAGCCTTGTCTAAGCTTTGATGTCTTTGCCTGTTTGGGTTTTTTTTTTTTACTCTGGTTCAGTAATTTAGTTCACCTAACAGTGCTTGTAGTGTAAGAACTCTAGAGGCGTGCCGTGTCCCCAAACTGAGGGCCACTTTTTTTGGGATTTCTTGCCCCAAAAATGTGAGAGCATGCGTCATTGGAGTTTATGGATGGAGTATTGGATTGAATGATTGGTTTACCCGAACTGAACCCAAGTGGTGTTGCTAGGGATGTCCCGATCACCTTTTTTTGCTCCCGATCCGATTCCGATCATTTGATTTTGACAATCTGCCGATACCGATTTTTCCCGATCCGATCTTTATGCAATGCATTAAGAGAAAAAGGTAACGGATAACGGCTGGTCATCCAACGCGATGAATTCAGCTATCTTGGCTGTTATTTTTTTGGCCTTTTCACTGTTCTGGGGCAGTTTCTCTTTCCTTTTAAAAGTCTCTGAAAGTGTCGGTTGTTTCAGTGCCGTTACCTGAGTGGCCGCTGTGTACTCGTCCTGTTGTTGTTGGTGTTTGTTTCTCAGGTGGCGTGTACGATTGGTCGTGTTGAACGTAGCTCTGTTCTTTCCACCACGCGGAACCTCTGCCTTGCAAACATTGCGTCTGGCTGTTACACTGCCTTCGCTTTCAATTTGATAATACTTCCAAACTCCTGACATTTTCTCTGTCCCGACTCCCGAGTCACCAGCTGAACGTAGCCTCTCGTTAGCTTACTGCTACTATTAGACACTGCGCCCACTTTGTTGCCAGATTTGAGAGGAATAAGCAACCGGGTTTTGTTTTGTAACATTAAATAAAATAATAAAAATATTTTATAAAAAAAAAAAAAAATTCCGATCCCCGATTTTTTTCTTTTGAAAATCACGTGATCGGCTCCGATCCCTGATCACGCGATCGGATCGGGACATCTCTAGGTGTTGTGTTATTGTATTTGTGTGCTAATACTCAAAGCAGGGGTTAGGAGGTCATCTGTTGTGTCAGAACCATAAGAAACCAGAAAATGACCTTTTGGCTGAAAAACAAGGTATTTCAGACATGGTTCCAGTGGATTTCTTAAATCTGAATACTTGCATTGGTATTAGTTCGGGAAGGTCCATCTGGGACGTTATACCTTCCAAAAAATGTTCTGTAGATCTGGAAGAGGTTAATGAGACTCAGAGAATGGTTCAGAGTAGCAAAGTGCAACAGGTGATCAAGATTCTGATATTTCTAGTCTTTAACCTGTTAAGCCCTGAGCCTGTTTTTCAGGTCTCAGGCTCGAAAATGACAAGCCCAGAACAAATGACTATATCTTCACTTCTAAAAGGGGTAATTAATAATCTTTTTTTTCAAAGCAATGATACACCTGTGAGTTGGATGTAGAAGTGTCAGAATCAATATAGATGTTTTTATTTTAAAGTAAATTCAGATTGAACATACTAGTAAAAAAATGTAAATTATAGTTTCCATCCAAAAAAAAACCTTTCCACCAGACGGAGGGGGGAGCTCGACGCTCGTGAATTGTCAACAGGGGGGGGGGGGCGTTTAAGAGAACCGGGCCGTTGACGTCCGGCCGTTATGTGATTCTCCAGAACACACAGATGGCCAGCGGCCGCCCAAAGGCAGCGGGTCACCCGGAACAGTCCTGACGCTCCCGATGGCCAATCCGTGCCTCCCCTGACTGCACGTCGCTGACACACACCGCTGCAGACTCTCTGTACGGAGGAGCCACGGAGGAGCAGCGGAGTCCGGGCGATGCTGCTCCTCCAAGGAAGAGACACACATTCACTAAGCCGAAAAGACTATATCCGGCGGGGGCATGGGGTTTAACAGGTTAAGGTCTGTTAATATTAAGACAATACTGAATACACAACAGACTTGTAGATCCAAGACAGACAAGGGTGTTGGTTCTCGTTTATTAGAAATAGGGCTGAAAAGACACTTATTGGGGTTTGTAAGGAATGTTCATTATGGAGCTGCAAAAAGGCAGGTTTATGGAACAATCCATGTGTTATATTGGAGAAATAGGTGAGAAATTCCCAATAAACCCTGTATCCAAATATATCAATGAGCTCTTACTCTGTTATCTGTGCACAGCCTTTAAAGCTGTCAACATATTGATTTGAACATGTCTATTGATTCTTGTCCACAGATGATATACTGCTGTGTTAGAGCTACATTGTCAAATAGCCTTTATTTTCTAAAAGCTGAGCCAATTATTTAAAAAGCCGGTGGTTTAAAAAGAAAACCCAAATAATTCATTTAATGGTGTGATTCTCTGCCTCAATTAAAGATAATTGCTTTGCGTGCTCCACACCTCCCACACTGTGTTGCCTGGCTTGTGGTAAACAACAATAGTGGAGCTGATAATAATGGCACAGAAAGCTTTCCAACCGATGCATCCTCGGCC